AGTCTCATTTTTTGTGTTGGTTATCTATCAAAAAAAATATTATATTAATCTGATAATTGTTATTATATTTGTTTTAAAAAATAATTGTGTATTTTTAAAATTATAATTGACATTTATTTTTTAAAAATAAATATAATAAAATTATATAACTATAATTATCGAATCAATATAATTTTTTTTTGAATAATCTACTCATAAAATTTGACAAAAATGAACAATAGTAAAAAAAAAAAAAATTATAAAAAATTCAAAAGGGGCATCTTTGTTTACTTGGCTAAAATGCGATCATACAGAGACGTGTCACTTAGAAGTTGCTATGAATAGACCTCACTTAAAATAAAAAGAATGATTCATATCATTAAAAAAAAAAAAAGATCATTAATAACATTAAAGTTGAAAATATAAAAAAAAGGGCATAATTAATGGTGTTATTAGAGCACCATTTTTAGTGCTTTTAACTATTTTTCTTAAAATAAATAAAAAAAAGAATAATGTTTGGGACCCCCTTTTGGGGGTCACCCCTCACCCCCCTTTGCCACGTGGCGGGGGTGATTGGAGGAGCAGGAAAAAAAAGAAAAAGAGAAAGAAAAGGTAACCAATGAGAGAGAGAGGGGGTCAAAGGGGGTGGGGAAAAAGGGGGGATGAATCATTACTCTAAAAAAAATACTATTAAGGATACTAATTTTTTTATTAAATAAGATTTTTTTACTAAATAAATGATTAAATATGTGAGGTCTATAAAAATAGATTTTATATTCATATGAGATATTTAACCATTCATTTAATAAAAAATTTGAGATTCATAACAATTTTTTTTTTGGAAAGTATTGGGTGCAATGTATATTGACAAATTAAAAAAAGTGGCATAATGACAAAAGAGTGGTTTTCTTGGAAAATTCCAAGAAAAATGTCACCAATGAGCTGACTGTTCAAAATCTGACCAATTCTTTCACTTTGCTTGGTTTCTAAGGCTCTGAGTGACAGTTTTTATTTGTATTTTTATTGTTAATCAAAAATTTTGGATAAATTACAAATAATATATTGTTTTTGTTCAAAATACAAGTAATTTTTATAGTTTAAAAAATTATAAATATTTTATTATTAGAATTTTTTATTTAATAAAATTAACTAAAAAAATAAAATTGATAATTACTCTCTTATATAATAATATAATTGTTTAAGTTATTAATTAAGCATATTTCTAATATCATAAAAACTGTTAATTAACTTAATAATTTATTAATAAAAAATATGATTTGTTATGAAATTAAAAATCTTAAAGGTGAAATATATTTTTTTAAAATTAAAAATGTATTTATAATTTATTCTCAAATTTTTTAACTTCTTAGGTGTTGTCGGAAAGTTAGTTTAAGAGTGAAAATAGCCTAAAAGTAAAAAAAAATATAAATAAAAAATATAAATAAATAATAATGATTTAGACCACTAAAAAATAGACCATTAATATTATTAATACATTAAAAATGACAACAAAAAATAAATAAAATAAAAACAAGGCATAGAAAGTATGTGGGACCACATCCTTAATGTTTTTTCTAGTGATCCTTTTTTAGTACGAGAAAAGTTAGGGATCATGAAATTTTTTTCATGAAAATGATCATGAAAGAGTTATGATTCTTAGATTACCTTAATTAGTATGTGGTGCTTTATTTTAAGTGTAATCTAAAGATCACAAAACTTTCATAATTATTTTTATGAAAATTTTTACATAATACCTAGCAGTGTTGTTTTAGTACTCCTAAGTATTTTTCATAAACAAAAGTGAATCACGTGCCTTGGGAGAACTGTCACCATAGGTAATGAAATGTCGGTTTTGCCCCTAAGCATTGAATAACACACCAACCGGAGATTTTTTGCCCCTAAGCATTGAATAACACACCAACCGGAGATTTTTTGCCCCTAAGCATTGAATAACACACCAACCGGAGATTTTTTGCCCCTAAGCATTGAATAACACACCAACCGGAGATTTTTTGCCCCTAAGCATTGAATAACACACCAACCGGAGATTTTTTGCCCCTAAGCATTGAATAACACACCAACCGGAGATAAAAAAAAACAAAAAACAAAAGGGTTGTCTGAGGGGCAATTTAGTCATTTTTCATCCAAACATCACGTCAAACGCTTTTTTTAATATAACAATTCAATAAAAAAAAATCAATTATCTCTCTAAATACAAAAATTAAAATAACATGATAACTCTTTAAAAAAAAGTCATTTTCCATCCCAACGTTAATTATTATTTTATGGACCCACAATCACAAAATAATAATTAACGTGATAACTCTTTTGAAAAAAGTTTGTCCCAAAAAACTTTCAAAAATGATATCAATGGACATATTTTTTTTTTTTTCAAAAGAAAGGAATGGACATCACCTTTAAATTACTAAAAATAATGTTTAATTAATAGCCATTATTATATGTTTAGAAGAGAAAATATTAAATGTATATTTAATCTTTGACATAATATAATGATTACCTTAAAAGTTAAATTCATAACCTCAATAATTGAATACTTTTTCTTTGTGGTCATCACTAAAACAGCAAAATAAAAAATAAAGAGAGAGTTATACAAGCCCTTAAAAAAATGGAAAACTATTCCATACTCCTGGGACAATCCCACAAAATGACACAATCAGTTCAACATAAATACAGGTTGCAATTGAAAGGAACCTCAATGCATGCAACTCTCATGCCTCCCACTGTGAGTTTAGCACTAATATACAAACAATAACAAGCTAGAAGACAGAAAAAAAAGGCTAAATTATTATTCCTTTAAAATATTCATACTCAATGAATTATAAAATTTTGATACTTTAATATTAACTCAAGTAATTCTAAAAAATTTGAGGATAGAAGATCACTGACAAAGAATGAAAGATGGCTTACAAGAAGACTGAAGCCCGTGACACTGGAGAGAGAGATGGCTATGGCGGTGCTAGAGAGAGAAAGTTCGCCAAGGTGACCGACCATCATGATGGATACAACTTGCAACAAGTACTGTGATAGTGTCACAGCCATCATGGGTGCAGCTATGCAACCCAACCTCTTCACCTCCTCACCAAACACACTCCATGTTACTAAACCACCCCCTTTCTTTTCTCCCTCTTTCAATAACAACACACCTTCCTCATCCATACCTTCACTCTCTCTTTCTCTTTCTCTAACTCAATAGATGTGTCTATAGATATATATGCGTAGAGCACGGCGTGTTTTGAAAAGTGGATAAAAAATTAACTTTTTTAGTAATTTTTTTTGATAAAAAATTGATTTTTTTTAATATTTTTTTTATAATTTTTTTTTGACAGAACTTGATAAAGAGTCAAAAACTCACTTTTTATCAAGTTGCCAAAAACACCCCCTCTAGGATTTGAATATGGAGAGAGAGAGATAGAAAGTTTGGCATGTGATGGGTTCTTTGGATGATCTCTTTCTTGCAGATAGGCCATAAGAAAGCGAAATGATGGGGTAGTTATTACTCACTAGTTCGGGAAGGAAAATGACTTTCTAGGTCTATTTTTAAAATTTAATAATGTGCTACCGATATAATTGATTGAGAATTATAAAAGGATTAGGTATAAATAATGTTGAGATTAAAATGTAATTGTAATTTATACATATCATGTTTAAATTTATAGAGTCTTGTCAATTTTTGATAAAGATATTGAAAAAATATAAAGAAGTATTCATCTTCTTAAAAAACTTATAAAGAATTAGCCTCTTTAATTCTACATCATTAGAGGTGGAATTAGAGAAGCAAAATTAGATGATGAAACACACACGATTTAATTTCATTTTTAGACTTTATTTATTTTTAAATAATAAGAATTACCAAAAAATAGGAAATAAAAATAAACAAAAAATACTGAAACAATTCTCAAGCGGAAAAAAAGACTAAAACAATTCTCAATCTTACCTTGCGAGTGCGAGTTCGAAGGGTAATTTCAAACTGCAATTTCATACATATATAGTATAAATAGAAGTACTAAGTTAAAACTGTAATTTCAAATTTGTAATCTCATATTCTCCAAAAGGAAATCTCATGTCCTACATATTTAGCAATCATGTTTAACATTGAATATCGTGTTCTACAGTATAAACAGGAGTATTGAGTTAAAATCTATTCAGCTACTAACAAAATGTTGAAAATACAATTTTTTTTTTTTATAAAAAAAATATGAACTTCGGTCACCAAAACCCCAAATTGTTTTTCCCCTTTTTTTTTCCCTGCAATTTCATACATATATAGTATAAACAGGAGTACTAAGTTAAAACTGTAATTTCAAATTTGTAATCTCATATTCTCCAAAAGGAAATCTCATGTCCTACATATTTAGCAATCATGTTTAACATTGAATCTCGTGTTCTACAGTATAAACAGAAGTATTGAGTTAAAATCTATTCAGCTACTAACAAAATGTTGAAAATACAATTTTTTTTTTCATAAAAAAAATATGAACTTCAGTCACCAAAACCCCAAATTGTTTTTCCCTTTTTTTTTTCCTCTAAAATCTCAGCAACCAAAAAATGCACCAAAAGTAAATTATCCAAAAAACACCTCTTCTTCGTAATTTCTGATTTCAAAATCAAAACAACAGTGACCGAAGCAACCAAAATCAAAACAAACAATCTTACCTTGCCAGTTCGAAATATAGGACTTTGATTTCGTACACGAAAATGAAAGAGTTTTAACTCAGCATCAATCTTACATAAACTCAGCAATCTCTAAGATATAAACAAAAGTTAATAAAGCTAAAATCAACTCTAAGCTAGAAAATACACACGCGCACAAACACACACAAAAAAGAAATAAATAAATAACTCACCTAATAAATATAATAGCATACACGAAAGAGGAAGAATTCAACTCAACATCAATCTCATATAAAGTGAACCACCTCCAATCCAAACATACTGTATAACCCACACTATAAAATGATGAAATGAAGCTCTTTCCACCTCAAAAACAAAAACCCAAAACTTCAGAGGAAGAGTTTTAACTCAGCATCAATCTTACATAAACTCAACAAACTCTAAGATACTTTAGGCATTCAAAATTTAAACAGAAGCAAAGAAACAAATTAATTGGTGATAACCCTCGATTAATTGGCACTTGAACCCCACTTTCAAATATGGTAACAAGATAACAAAGAACACCCACAATGATAATCTAAGTCAAATCACACAATGAATTCCAACAAAATTGCAGAATACAGATTCACCAGAACCAAACACCAAGGATGTGGGGGGTAGATGTCAATCCCATGTCCATTATTAGTAGGTTAAGAGAAAACTGTGTCACTATACCTTAGCATCATTCCAACTTGATGTAGATCAATCATAAATGTTCATTGTTCAGCATTCATAAATTTGCTTCCCATGGCACAAAATATCCTATTTTTTGGAATTCTGGTAAGTTCTCGTAGTAAAATATGCAAAATTGCAGTACCAAAAAAATTAATGATACCAAAAGGCCAGGGATATAAAAATCGAACCTGTCAGTCAAACCCACAGTAGCAACATCTGCAGGTACAAAACTTGCAATATGGGAAAGGAAAACAATTAAAGCTACCTAAAAAAAAAAAAAAAAAAAAAGTTATCTTTCAAGATGCGTCAAATAAATATTTCTATTTATTAAGGATTAGTGCATTTATACAGAACATATATCCAACATTATTATACAGAACTTCCAATATGGGAAAGGAAAATAATTAAAGCTACCTGGAAAAAAAAAATTATCTTTCAAGATGTGTCAAATAAATATTTCTATTTATTAAGGATTAGTGCATTTATACAGAACATAAATGCAACATTATTATTAAAACTTTGACACAAAGAGAAAGGTGAAATACTAACAAAACTTATACTTATAGTCGTTAGATAAAACTATTGAAGTATATAAATTTGAGCAGACATGAAATGATGAAAAACCAGAAACATCAACAATTGAAGTATTTGCATGTGAGAGTATTTAATTAAAAACAGAAGCAGAGTGAAAGTCAAAAAATTAAGAGAAGAAAACGAATCTGCTTTATTATATAGATGGTTAGAGCAACCCATATAAGTTGCTATCAGTTTAGAGCAACAAAGGAAGTTAGGTTACTGGACATCAAGTCCATTTCATCAAAATTAATTGTAGGTTCGTTTTAAATTTGTATTATAAATACCAAGTTCTACAACTTAAAAAAAAAAAAACTTTTACATCATTAGGTGAAGTTTTGATATGGTGTTTAGTCTTTATTTTTTATTTTTGGTCACATAAATTATTCTTAGATTAACAATCTAAATTATCAATTCAATTTGTAATTGTCAATTTTAATTCACATGAACCCCTCTTAGAGCAGATGTTGCATATATGTATACTATAAACAGTATAATTGTCAATGTCAATTTCATTGTATACTATAATTGTCAATGTCAATTTCAATCTAAACACATTCATATGGGTATTTACAGTATGTAGCATATATGTATACTATAAACCCCTCTTAGAGCAATATGGGTATTTACATACAAACCCAATACATATAGATATAGAAATGAAAACATATCAGATGAATACACTATATGGGTATTTACACTATATATTTACATTCAGATGAATACACAATATAGAAATGAAAACCCAATACATTCATATGGGTATTTACAGTATGTAGCATATATGTATACTATAAACCCCTCTTAGAGCAATCCAAAACATAGAAACCCAATACATATAGATATAGAAATGAAAACATATCAGATGAAAACCCCTCCAGTTAGATATGTATAAACTATAAACCCCTCCAATACAAATGAATACAAATTCATATCACATATCAGATGAATATAGAAACCCATATCACAAACACAAACACAGACTTTTGAATACAAATGAATACAAACTCCATAGCAGATACAAACCCAGATATTAGATGAATGAATGAAAGAGAGAACCATAGTGTTAACCAAGATTTGGGTATACCAAATACGGCATTACCAGTCTGCTCTTACAAACAGACTGCTTAGTCCTAGTACTGTTATTCCAAAACCACGATCAAGACCATGATTGGGGACTCCAATCCATTTTGACTGATATATTGTATTATTGTAAACTGTTTCATCATGTTGTCTTAGAGAAGGTGGAGCGAGATGTAGTTCAAGATGCTCACCTTCTTGCAACTGCTGTAAGCCACTCTGTTTAGCTTAATATATTTGTGTTGCTGTGTTTTGTTCTAAAAAAAAAAAAAAAAGATTTGGGTATGTGCAAGATTTGGGTATAAACTAACTCAAATTCTAAACCCAGATAGACCCAGATATTAGACCAATAGATATGTATAAACCCAGATATTCTAACTGAAACATGACTATTACTTGCGCTTTCTCTCACTTTTTGGTGGTTCAAGCTAATTGTCACTGACAATTTTCTTAAAGTCCAACTTGTTGTCATCCTTCATCAAAATTAAACAAAGAATGAAAAAAAATAAATAGAAATCTACTTTAAACAACATTAACCAAAAGATAAACAAATTGCGAATCGAATCGCGAATCATGATATTTTGGTAATAGAAGTCCAGAGTAATAGCTGAACATGTGCAAGAATGATCTGTACCTTTTCATCATCAAAATCATATAGATCAGTAGCAACGAAAACCCAGACAGGTTGCACTTAGCCTCAGTTACAAAAGCATAAAGTAAAAAAATGTTTAATAAATAAATCTCGATATCAATCCATATACTGTCATCCATTTTGAATTTGATTGCATCTTCAGCAAACTTCTTCATCTTAGCATCAAGCTCAGCTGCTGCCTCTTCTCCTTTAGCAATGATCTGATCTATATCCTCATCGGTAATTGTGCTATCCTTAGAACTGAAAACCATTTCAGCACCAAACCTCACCATTTGCAGCAGCTCATCTTTGTTAATAGCTGCCAAAACAAATTAAAAAGTAATCAAATCAAAGTATTTTACTTCAAACAACATTAACCAAAAGATAAACAAATTGCGAATCGAATCGCGAATCATGATATTTTGGTAATAGAAGTCCAGAGCAACAGCTGAACATGTGCAAGAATGATCTGTACCTTTTCATCATCAAAATCATATAGATCAGCAGTTGCGAAAACCCAGACAGGTTACACTTAGCCTCAGTTGCAAAAGCATAAAGTAAAAAAATGTTTAATAAATAAATCTCGATATCAATCCACATACTGTCATCCATTTTGAATTTGATTGCATCTTTAGCAAACTTCTTCATCTTAGCATCAAGCTCAGTTGTTGCCTCTTCTCCTTTAGCAATGATCCGGTCTATATCCTCATCGGTAATTGTGCTATCCTTAGAACTGAAAACCATTTCAGCACCAAACCTCACCATTTGCAGCAGCTCATCTTTGTTAACAGCTGCCAAA